AAAAAAAAAAAAAAAAAAAGAGCCTGCTTTTCAGTATAGCATGCCTGGGTATCTCAGGTGGTCTTCATTTTCTGTAAGCATGATAATTCTTTTTTAGGTCCTTGAAAAATTAAACCAGGGTTTCCCATCGTTTCTTACCTTGATGTATTTCTTTCTTTTTGAGTCGGAGTCTCACTCTGTTGCCTAAGCTGGAGTGCAGTGGCATGCTCAATGGCCCCTGCAGCCCTGACCTGCTGGGCTCATCCTTCTGCCCCAGCCTTCCAAGTAGCTGGAACCACAGGCGTGTGCCACCATGCCCAACAAATTTTGTTTTATTATAGAGATGAGGTCTCGAACTCCTGGACTCAGGCAGTCCTCTTGCCTCACCCTCCCAAAGTGCTGGGAATTTAGGTGTGAGCCACCGCGCCTGGCTCCTATCTTTTCCACACCAAGTATCCTTTTTATTTCTTTTCAGACCTCCAAATGTTAAAGTATTTATTATGAGCTGGGCTCGGTGGCTCAGCCTGTAATCCCGCGCCTTTGGGAGGCTGAGGTGAGTGGATTGCCTGAGCCCGCGGGTTCGAGACCTCATCTCTATAATAAATCAAAAATTAGCCAGGCGTGGTAGCGCACACCTGTAGTTCCAGCTACTTGGAAGGCTGAGGCGGAAGGATCGCCGGAGCCCAGACGGTCGAGGTTGCAGTGACCGGGAGCGGCCACTGCACTCCAGTCTGGGCGACCGAGTGAAACTCTAACTCAAAAAAAAAAAAAAAATTTATTATGGTGACTTTATAAAGTAACCATTTATTTCCCTACTTTGATTCTTCAAAGCCACATGTGACTACTAGAGTCTCTCATCAGAACAGGATAAACAGGTGTTAAAACACTGAGTTGATAAATTAGTTAATAAACTGACCTGCTGGGCTGAGGAGATCCTTCCACCTCAGCCTTCGAAGTAGGCATGTGCCGCCACACCTGGCTAATTTTTTTGATTTATTGTAGAGATGCAGTCTCGCCAAGTTGCCCAGGCTGGTCTCAGGCAGTCCTCTACCGCCCAAACAAAGACTTGATGTTTTTCTGAGGTGTTGAATCATTGTTATGTGTTCAGTTTTTCTAGAGCATTTTAAAATGTTCAAAATAGGACTGGGCGCAGTGGCTTACACCTACAATCTCAGCACTTTGGTAGGCCGAGGTGAAAGGATTGGTTGAGCCCATGGGTTTGAGACCCGCCTGGGCAACTTGGTGAGACCTCATCTCTACAATAAATCAAAAAATTAGCTGGGCGCAGTGACGTGTGCCTGTCAAGTAGATCCAGCTACTTGGAAGGTTGAGGTGGAAGGATCCCCTGAGCCCAGCAGGTCAAGGCTGTGGTGGCCACTGCACTTCAGCCTGGGCAATAGAGCGAGACTCCAAGTCAAAAAAAAAAAATTTTTTTTAATTAAGAATTAAAAATAGCTTGGGGGCTGCAAGTAAGGGGCCACTGACCGGTGGAATCCACTCGAGAAGCAAGCACTATCATAAGGACAGAAACAAAAGTAATTATGGCTTTTCCTCTAGAATAGGCTGATGGTTTTTCCTTGCCGTGCCCAGAATGTCTCATTTTGGCCTAGTTATTTGGTTTGTGTTGGTGGTGTTGTTTTCATTGTTCACTCTTGTCTTTTGTTTTAGGAAGGAAGGCTTCAGGAAGTCATTGAAACTCTTCTCTCTTTGGAAAAACAGACTCGTACTGTGAGTAGTTTTATAGTGAAAAGCTTAGTTACTGTTAATTTCATTTAATTGACTTCCAGTGTATTTTCATTCTTACAGGCTTCCGATATGGTGTCTACATCCCGTCTCTTAGTCGCAGTGGTGAAGATGTGCTATGAGGCTAAAGAATGGGATTTACTGAATGAAAATATTACGCTTTTATCCAAAAGGAGGAGTCAGTTGAAACAAGTGAGTTCATGATTGCTTAGAACGTAAATGCATCTGCATTTTTATACGAACTTGTAGAAAACTATTCTGTGAGTCTGTTTAAAATGTGATAAATCAACACTGCAGCATCCTAGAGGGTGTTTTGGAATTCTACCAACATTCTCATAATGATGCAGCTGTTTTCATTTCTGTTTTTTTCTTGTAGTTGTTATATATTTACATATTTTAGAAAAATTATTCTCAGAGTGTCGATGCAGCTTTGTTGTTTTGGTGTTGTTCCTTATCTTCATTTTGTGTGTGTTGGAGTCTCACTCTGTCGCCCAGGCTGGAGCGCAGTGGCACACTCCCGGCCACCGCAGCCTCGACCTACTGGGCTCCAGCCCTCCTTCCGCCTCAGCCTTCCAAGTAGCTGGAACTATAGGCAAGCGCCACCATGTCCGGCTAATGTTTTGATTTATTGTAGAAATGAGGTCTCACCAGGTTGTCCAGGATGGTCTTAAACCCGTGGGCTCCACAGTCCTCTCACCTCAGCCTCCCAAAGTGCTGGGATTATAGATGTGAGCCACTGGGCCTGGCTATCTTCATTTTTATTCTTTTAAATGACTATGTTATAATCCATCAAATTCATAATCTAATTTACTTAGTTCTCTTTTGTGGAACAATCTTTTTTAGGCTGTTTTGATATAGACTTATTTAATAATAATAAATACTTTATTTTCATATAGCATTCTCCTAATACAGGATTTTTTACTAAATATCTCTTTTATTTTTTTTTTTTTTGAGTTGGAGTCTCACTCTGTCGCCCAGACTGGAGCGCAGTGGCCGCTCCCGGCCACCGCAGCCTCCACCCGCTGGGCTCCAGCGATCCTTCCGCCTCAGCCTTCCAAGTAGCCGGAATTACAGGCACACGCTACCATGCCCGGCTGATTTTTTGATTTATTGTAGGATGAGGTCTCGCTGCCCAGGTGGGTCTCGAACCCGTGGGCTCAGGCAGTCCACTCACCTCAGCCTCCCAAAGGCGCGGGATTACAGGCTGAGCCACCGAGCCCGGCTTAAATATCTTTTTTATATACTGTTGCCATTCATAAACTGTGCATTTTGATAAATAAAGATTTTCACCTTAACTTAACCAGGCTCTTCTGAGACCTCTTTCTGCTCATGCCTTAACCTTGACCTGTGGAGACTTGAAAAAATACTGGTATAGCCTCTGACGGCCTGAGGCTGCATTTCTAGGATGGCCTTACCCATCTTCAAGTGCCTGTCTGAAAATCAAACTCAGGGCTGCTGACAGAATGTACTAACAATACACTCAATCTTTAATTTCTTTTTGAGACCATTCTTAGTCAGACTACTCATTTTGTCTAATGATGCAAAGTGCTCTTTTAGTGCTTGTGAAGCTAAATTGTTTACTGTTTTCTCATTCTTCTTGAGATGTATTTAAATGAACTTCTATAGAAGCAGATTCCATTTTTCACATTTATATGTTATCTTTAAAATGTTATTTCCTGAGTAGCTTCTGGGTTCTTTTGCTTTAATAGAGTAATAGCAATGTAAAAGAGGATAGTAGTGGAACCAAAACTAGATAGTAGGGTTCTTGTCCAAATCCCTTATTTTATGAATTAGACTGCTACTAGGGTGAGCGTAGCATTAAAGTGGGTTAAATAGGGTTTTTTGCAAAGATCAAAGTTACAGTAATTGGTTTTGTTTTTAGGTGAGTTTCCATGGATATAAAATACAGTCAGTGTTAATAATTAGCATAGCTGAGGCAATCTAAGTCGTTCAAATATGAAATTCATTTAAATATACCTTTTAGTGCTTGGTTCTGTGGTTTGAGAGACAATTATTTGATAAACCATTACCTCACTGATTTTCTAAAAGATTTGCTCTCTGTGAGACAGTTTTGAAAGGACTCCTTAAATAGAAGTCTTGGGGCAACCTGGGTTAAAATAAGCAAAAATTTATGTTATTTGTAGTATTCAAAGCATATATCCCAAAACACAGATTAATCTCCTGTGTCAAAATTGTAGAGCTAATGGGGGTGCTGTTTCACTCTGATACTTTTCAGATGGAGAAACAGGTTTACTGTCAGCCCTTAGAATGTGAAAAAATAGGAACCCATAGCTCTTGCCCTCTAGTGGCCTATAGTTTAGTAAGAAACATATATCATAAGTAATTATAGAGTATCTTTAGCAAGTGTCTTTAAGATTGATTTCTTAAAAAGAAAATCACACATACATTAAGCAGTGTGTAATGAGTGGCACAGGAGCAGTGAAATGTGCTAAGAGATGTGAAAGGAAGAAGAGAAAGTGTTTGATTAGCTTTCTTAGGGAAGGCTTCTTGGAGAAGGAGGTTTTTAAATTTGAGTCTGTCTCACAGCTGCCTAGTGACAGCCAGAACTGGAGCCAGGACTGTTCTTTTCCCTGTAACATATTATGTGTTCATCGCTTTGGGTGGTGCTTAGGGACTCAGAATGTCTCTGTCTTCTTCCCATAATTTTTTTTTAAACTTGGCATGTGCTAAATAAGGATGCAGAGATGAAAGTCCCCCATAATTACTTTTTACCTAAAACATTTTTTTTGCTTAAGCAGACTTTGTAACTTTCTTTTTTTTGAGTTGGAATCTCACTCTGTCACCCAGACTGGAGTGCAGTGGCTGCTCCCGGCCACCGCAGCCTCGACCTGCTGGGCTCTGGCGATCCTTCCACCTCAACCTTCCAAGTAGCTGGAACTGCAGGCGTGCACTACCACGCCCGGCTAATTTTTTAAAAATTTATTGTAGAGATGAGGTCTCGCCAGGTTGTCCAGGTGGGTCTCGAACCCATGGGCTCAGGCAATCCACTCACCTCAGCCTCTTTCTAAAAAGCATAACATTTTCTAGATTTCTTCTATTCACTGTCACTTGAGCGGGGTGGGGGGGAGGTCACACCAACCATAACTTCCCTAAAGACTTTCCTGCATTATTGAGGGGAAGCAGCAGGATTTTCATTTTCATTAGAATATTGATGTACAGCAGTCCTCACTTATCTACAGGAATATATACTAAATCCCCCATGGAGACCTGAAACCTTGGGGAATATCAGACTCTGTACACAATGTTTTAAGAAACCTTTTCACTTACAGAAGGCATCTTACGGCTTCTGTTTGGCATATCCAAATTGCCAGCACCACCACTCTTGGGCTTTGGGGCCATTCTGAAGTAAAATAAGGTTAACTTAAACACAAGCACGGCAATATAGCAACAGTTGATCTGATCACCAAGATGGCCCCTAAGTGACTTGGCCGGGTGGCATAGACCATGTGGAGGGGCTGGACAAAGGGATGATTCGAAGAATAGCATGAGCTTCATCACTACTCAGGAGGGCGTGCAACTTAAAACTTATAGGCTGTTTACATGCGGGATTTTCCATTTAATATTTTCGGACTACAGTTGACCTAAGCTGTAACTGGAGAGTGAAACTTTGATACAGGGAACTGCTTGTTCTGGCGTTTTTGTTTTTTATTCATCTGATTTCTGTCTGTGTTTTTTGCACAACTTTTAAAATTATCGGGTTGTATGCTCTTCTAGAAATCATTATAATTAATTTGAGAGGGACATAGGTTGAATGGGATACTAGATGTCCTAGGGCTTTGCACTTATCGAAAGAGTTGTGTTTACGGTAAAACCATAGCTTTCTGGAATGCCTGGGTCTCTGAACAGCTAGTTTTTTAGATAGTGAAAGTTTAACCTGAGCTACTTAAAGATTAAACATTTTTCATATAAATCTTTCCAAGCTATGCTGTTTACTTTTCTGCTGTGGTTTTTTTTTTTTTTTTTTTCTTTTTTTGAGTTGGAGTCTCACTCTGTCGCCCAGACTGGAGTGCTGGAGTGCAGTGGCCGCTCCCGGCCACCGCAGCTTCAACCTGTTGGGCTCCGGCGATCCTTCTGCCTCAGCCTTCCAAGTAGCCGGAATTACAGGCATGTGCTACCACGCCCGGCTGATTTTTTGATTTATTGTAGAGATGAGGTCTCGCTGCCCAGGCGGGTCTCGAACCCACGGGCTCAGGCAAACCACTCACCTCAGCCTCCCAAAGGTGTGGGATTACAGGCTGAGCCACAGAGCCTGGAGCCACCTGCTTTTATAAGTAAAGTTACTGGAACACCGCCACACTCATCGGTTTATACATTGTCTTTGACTTTCAAGTTAGGAAGGCGGGATTGGAGAGCTGCTGCAGAGACTGTGTGGCCCACACAGTCCAAAGTATTTACTTTGTAAATATTTGCAAAAATTAACTGAAGACGTTGACTGGCCTGCGACCTGGATCTTGGACCTTTGGGGCTGGAGGGAACATATTCTAGGCCTTTTGTTATGGGGGGGCGGATGTGCCACAGGTGCTTTTCTGGCCCCTGGTGCTGAGTTTTGCTGAGGTGAATGGGGGGCTGTGGTGCCGCCTCCCGCTCAGACGATGAACCATCTCAGCCTTTGCTCTGCCTCTGCCCCTCGGTGCCTGCTTCTCGCTGCTGAGCTCTGTGCTCTCCCCTTCCTCGCTGCAGTCTGCTGCCATGTCTTCCATGCATTCTGTTTGGTTGCATCTTTGCACCTGAGGTTTTCCTGCGCTTTGTTGGCTTGTTCCTGGGAGTTCAGTCCTTCTCAGCTGTATCATGTATGGGCATTTTGGTGTCCAGAGTAGCGTAGGAAGACCAAGTTTGATCAGAAATCTTCCTTCAATAAAATACTTTTTTTTCCTGTATGTGGAATGCATTTTCCTTCTGAAAAGTTTTTAATATTTTAGGCTGTTGCAAAAATGGTTCAACAGTGCTGTACTTATGTTGAAGAAATCACAGATCTTCCAATTAAACTTCGATTAATTGATACTCTACGAATGGTTACAGAAGGAAAGGTGAGTTTTCTGTTGGCATAACTTACAATGGCAAAGTATCGTCCTGTCTGTGTTCAGAGATACTTAACGCACTTACACATCTCATGTAAGTTGTATTTATACATTTTTTAATAAAAGAAATATACAAAATGTCATCACTTTAATTCAACCAGCTATTAATAATTATCTTTGTACATCGCCTTCTAGTGTCTTCCTGTATGCAAATGAGCATATTTAAATAGTGACAAATTGATATATCCAGGTTTTTCTAGGAATTAGTGATCTTATTCCAAATTTGTGTATGGCTTTTTAAGAATGAATAAAAATTCTGCAAAGCCAGGGGGTGAGGAGAAAGGCATTTCAGACATAGCAGAAACTATATACAAAGATATCAAAGTAAGAAACACATGGTATATTTATGAAACTGTAAGTAGTTTGATATTATTGGTAGGCCTAGGCATGAAAATTCATTCCCTAGATGTTTTAGATTATACTGTAGTTATATTTGTAATGTTTAATTTGTTGAAAATTATAAATCCACTAGCATTACTGATAGCTACAAAAGATGCCAACACCCTTATTACTTAGCAAAATCAGATATTTTTAACGAAAGTAGCCTTGTATTTAAGGATAAATTAGAATTGGTTGAATTGTAGATAAACACTGTAATTTCATATTTGGGTTCACAGAGGGAAGTTGGAAAATATGGGTAAGATTTTATAGGGACATTTTCTTAAAAATTATGGCCATATTTGAAAAATGTACAATGTCTCACAGCTCTGTTTGTGAGAATAAATTGCAACAATAACTGCAAGATAAATACTGTTGTACCTAGTTTGAAGAGTAGTTCAGTTCTGCCTTTTAAACTTTAATGCATTTCTACAAGAATTTTGATAATGTAAATTTCTCATTTGTAGATTTATGTTGAAATTGAGCGTGCTCGACTAACTAAAACCTTAGCAACTATAAAAGAGCAAAATGGCGACGTGAAAGAGGCAGCTTCCATTTTACAAGAGTTACAGGTAGAGTACTACATTGTGGAGTTGGTCATCTTGTTTAGTCAGTAGTGTTCTTTTGTGTAAATCTCGGTGGCGTATCTCTTATCCAAATGCTTGGGACCAGAAGTGTTTCAGATTTGGGGCTGAAGGCTTGTGATTGGCATCTTTTTTCATTTTTTAAATTCTAATTTCCTCATTAGCCATTAGGAAAATGAAAATTAAAACCACAGATGACAGTGCTTTGAGAGACCAAGGTGGAAGGATCGCTTGAGGCCAGGTGTTTGAGACCAGCCTGGGTAACACAGCGAGACCTTATTTCTACAAAAAAGTTAAAAATTAGGGGGCATGGTAGCTCATGCCTGTAGTTTTAGCTACTCGGGAGGCTGAGGTGAGAAGATAGCTAGAGCCCAAGAGTTCAAGGCTGCAGTGAGCTCTGATCGCACCACTGTACTTCAGCCTAGGCAACAGAGTGAGATCCTGTCTCTAAAAGTAAATACATAAAACCACAATAAGATACTACTCATAAATCCTAGAATGGCTACATTTTAAACAATACCCAGGCCAGGCGCAGTGACTCACACCTGTAATTCCAGTACTTTGGGAGGTGGAGGCGAGAGGATTGCCTGAGTCCAGGGGTTCAAGACCAGCCTGGGCAACTTGGCAAGACCTCATCTCTACAATAAATAAAAAAATTTGCCAGGTGTCGTAGCACACACCTGTGGCTCCAGCCACTTGGGAACTACTACTGAGGCAGAAGGATCACCTGAACCCAGCACATCGAAGCTGCGGTGGTCATGAAGGTGACACAGGACTCCACCGTGGGTGAAAGAGTGAGACTATAACTCAAAAAACTAAAAAAAAAAAAAACAATAACAATACCCAGTGATGATGAGAAATCAAAATAGTGCAACCCTACTCTGGAAAACTGGCAGCTTCTTATAAAGTTAAACATATACTTATCATATGATCCAGCCATCCACTCCTGAGTATTTACTCGTAGAAATGAAGACTTGTGTTCACACAAAACCTGTTCTGAGTGGCTTTGTTTATGATGGCAGAAAGATGGAAACAGCCCTGTCGTCTTTCAGCAGCGTATGGATGAACTGTGCTATGTCCATACAGCGGAATACTGCGAAGCAATACAAAGAAATAAACAGTAGATATGCAACTTGAATGAATCTTAAAACTCAGGGCATTATCTAGAGTGAATAAAACTGTCTCAAAAGATTACATACTGCATCTGACATTCTTAGAAAGACAGATCCTGGCCGGGCATGGTGACTCAAGCCTGTAATCCCAGCACTTTGGGAGGCCAAAGTGAATGGATTGCCTGAGCCCCTGGGTTCGAGAACAGCCTGGGCAACTTGGTGAGATCTCTTCTCTACAACAAATCAAAATAATTAGCCAGGTGTGGTAGCACTCGCTTGTAGTTCCGACTAATTGGAAGGGTGAGGCAGAAGGATCACCTGAACCCAGCAGGTCGACGACGGGGTGGCTGTGAGTGAGCCACTGCACTCCAGCCTGGGCAAGGGAATGAAACTACCACTCAAAAAAAAAAAAAAAATCTTTAGTGATGGAGAACAGATCATTGGCTGTCTTAAGAGGGTTTATAAGTTGGGAGTGTGTGATTATAAAGGGGTAACATGAGGGAATTTTCTGGGGCAGTAGAACTGTTTTGTATCTCCATTGTGACAGTTACATACATCAATGCATGTGTTAAAATTCATAGGACTTGACATCAAAAGAATGTGATCCATTTTCAATTGTAATGTCCTAGAGGTAGCTAGCTTTTAATATAATTATCAACACTCCTCCTATATATGTATGAGGGTTCTTATCACTTCACAAGGGTGAATATTTTGATATACTTTAAAATTGTGTTGCACTTCCCAATTACCAAGTATTATAAACTTAATTGAGGAATTTCTCTGCTAGGTGGAAACGTATGGGTCAATGGAGAAGAAGGAGCGAGTAGAGTTCATTCTGGAGCAAATGAGGCTCTGCCTCGCAGTGAAAGATTACATCCGGACACAAATCATCAGCAAGAAGATTAACACCAAGTTTTTCCAGGAAGAAAATACAGAGGTGAGCATGTCTCTGGCTACATGTTCACTCTAAAGGTGTTTGAGGGCCAGGCATATTGGGTTATTCCAGCACTTTGGGAGGCCAAGGTGGGTGGATGACTTGAGACTAAGAGTTTGAGACTAGCCTTCCCCAAAAGATGATGTGTATCTCTACAAGAAATTTTTAAAAAAATTAGCCAGATAGGCTGGGCACGGTGGCTCAAGCCTGTAATCCCAGTACTTTGGGAGGCCAAGGTGAGGGGATTACCTGCACCCACAGGTTCAAGACCAGCCCAGGCAACTTGGCAAGACCTCATCTCTACAATAAATCAAAAAACTAGCCAGGTGTGGTAGTGCGTGCCTGTAGTTCCAGCTACTTGGAAGGCTGAGGCAGAAGGATCGCCTGAGCCCAGCAGTGTCAACTCTGGGTTGACTGTGGGGTGATGGAGAGAGACTCCAACTCAAAAAAAAAAAAAGAATTAGCCAGATGTGTTGGTGTGCTCCTATAGTCTTAGCTACTTGGGAGGCTGTGGCAGGAGGACACTTGAGCCCAGGAGTTCAAGGTTGCAGTGAGCTGTGATTGCTCTACTGCACTCCCACCTGGTTGACAGAGTGAAGCCCTGTCTCAAAAAAAAATTTTAAAAAAGCATCTGAATTAAACCCCAATTTATTTTGTCAACTTTTTTTTTTTTTGCAGAAATTAAAGTTGAAATACTATAATTTGATGATCCAGCTGGATCAACACGAGGGATCCTATTTGTCTATTTGTAAGCACTACAGAGCGATATATGACACTCCCTGTATACAGGCAGAAAGAGAAAAGTGGCAGCAGGTGAGAATGCATTTCTGTCATCCACACTGATGGGAAGAAGTTGCCTTTTTATTGATCTTGAACATTTTCTCTGCAATAATCTCATGCAGCCCTGTGGTGCTGGTTCTGTTAGGTGTTGCCGGTTCTATTAGGTGTTGCTGTTGGCGAGTCCTCTTGATTGAGACCATTTGCAGTAGTGGTTTAGATGGAAATGGAGGCTACTGTGTGCAATGTGTGTGGCGGTCACCTGGTAGCAAAGGTTGCAGATAGAGACCCAGTGTTACTTTGGAAAGGTTTTACAAAAGCTGTTGTAAAGTAGCTTATATGTATATTTCACATTTATGCTGCTGACTTTATACATTTGTAAAAAATTAACGTCAAAAAAGACACTATGGACCAGGCTCGGTGGCTCAGCCTGTAATGCCAGCACTTTGGGAGGCCTAGGTGGGTGGATTGCCTGAGCCTGTGGGTTCGAGACCAGCCTGGGCAATTTGGCGAGACTTTGTCTCTACAATAAATCACAAAAGCTAGCCTGGCATAGTAGTGTGCACCCGTAGTTCTGGCTTCTTGGAAGGCTGAGGTGGAAGGATTGCTGGGGTGGCCATGAGCATGCCACAGTACTCCAGCTTGGGCAACAGAGTGAGACTCCAACTTAAAAAAAAAAAAAAAAGACACTATGAAAAGCAGCCTGTTAAGATTTTTTCCCCTAAGACTTTTTGAGTACAAAATTTAAAATGAGCTGGGCTCGGTGGCTCAGCCTATAATCCTGCACCTTTGGGAGGCTGAGGTGAGTGGATTGCCTGAGCCCGCGGGTTCGAGACCTGCCTGGGCAGCGAGACCTCATCTCTACAATAAATCAAAAAATCAGCCAGGCGTGGTAGCACGCGCCTGTAATTCTGGCTACTTGGAAGGCTGAGGCGGAAGGATCGCCGGAGCCCAGCAGGTCGAGGCTGCGGTGGCCGGGAGCGGCTACTGCACTCCAGTCTGGGCGACCGAGTGAGACTCCAACTCAAAAAAAAAAACAAAAATTTTAAATGAAACCAAAAAATGAGCCATGCAAGGTGGCACACACCTGTAGATCCAGCTACTTGTGAGGCTGAAGTAGAAGAATCACCTGAGCCCAGGAGGTCAAGGCTGTGGTGAGCCATGATCTTGCCACTGCATTCCAGCCTGGATGACAGAGTGAGACCCCAACTAAAAAAAAAAAAAAAAAAGAAATGAATATACACAGTTATTCCATGATTTTTTAGCTTTTGCCAGAGTCTTCCTCATATTTCTAGTCTTGCATATAACCAATTGTATTGCACACCTTGTTTAGGCTCTGAAGAGTGTTGTGCTCTATGTTATCTTGGCTCCTTTTGACAATGAACAGTCGGATCTGGTTCACCGAATAAGTGGTGACAAGAAGTTAGAAGAAATTCCCAAATACAAGTAAGTGCTTTTATCATTGGCCTAGTATATCCCAGTAGAAACATCCTTCGAAAGAGAATTGGTTAACATAAGTGTACACTTCTTAATTGCTTGCTGATAGACAATAAACTAGTGATAATGAAGTGATGAAATGTTTTTCGGTGTTGCATGAGAAGTCAATGTAATGAGATTATAACATGCTTTATTTTAAACTGCTTGTCAAGTAGCAACTTTATGTCAAGTCTGCTTTAAGCTGCTTTTGATTAAATAGCCATTTTGTAAAGTTTCACTCTTAGTAGTTTTGGGCTTTGTGATTTTTGGAAATACATTCTTCCGAAAATCTGTCATAGAAAACAGACTTGCTTCATCTTAAGCACAATGGACTGTTATTTTTCAAGAGCTATTTTTCAGCTGGGCTCGGTGGCTCAGCCTATAATCCCGCACTTTGGGAAGCTGAGGTGAATGGATTGCCTGAGCCCGCGGGTTCAAGACCCACCTGGGCAACTTGGCGAGACCACATCTCTACAATAAATCAAAAAATCAGCCAGGCGTGGTAGTGCACGCCTGTGGTTCCAGCTACTCGGAAGGCTGAGGCGGAAGGATCGCAGGAGCCCAACAGGTCGAGGTGGCGGTGGCCGGAAGTGGCCACTGCACTCCAGTCTGGGCGACAGAGTGAGACTCCAACTTAAAAAAAAAAAAAAAAAAGAGCTATTTTTCTTTTGTTTCTTTAGTAATGTTTACCATCAGTTATTTCAGAGATTGACACACAGTACAGAAAACAGATAGGAACTGCTGTCTTCTGAATTCCTGTGGAAAATGGCATTCAAGTTGCTAAAATAATCAAATTGTGTCTCATTCTACTGAATAAAAATTGTTATTATAATTTTAAAGATAGGGAGTCTCACTATGTTGTCCAGGCTTGTCTTGAACTCCTGGGCTCAGGTGAAAATAATGAAAACAGTCTTTGTTGATCTTTTGAACTTCGCTGTTTAGTTAATACTTAATTTTTACAGATTAATTATACAGGATATTAATGTGTGTGCCATTTACAGGGATCTTCTAAAGCTTTTCACCACAATGGAATTGATGCGTTGGTCCACGCTGGTTGAGGACTATGGGATGGAGTTAAGGAAAGGCTCCCTAGAGAGTCCTGCAACTGACGTTTTTGGTTCTACCGAGGAAGGTGAAAAAAGGTGGAAAGACCTGAAGAACAGAGTTGTTGAACATGTAAGAATCTGGCATGATAGAGATGACAGTTTTTACTTTAACCTGTAACTAGTGAATTTACTTTTTAGAATTATCTTAGTAAGTAACTTTGGCAAATTTGAGTGTAAACTGTTTTATTTTCCAAGTTTGATAGTCCTGTGTTCCTTTTGGGTGTTATGTCTATCAGCATTCATTCGTTCACATAGCAGACTTTTGTTGTGAGCCCTCTGTGTGCCAGACACTGTGCAAAGTGTTGGGACACAGGAGAATAAGACATGGCCCCTACCTTGATGAAGCTTAAAAATCACAGGAAAACATGTCTGTGTAAATAGTGTTAGAGATATGGTGAGAGCATGTAGAGAGTGGGTGAGGCCTACGGGGGGAGCTGATTGGTTCATCTAGAGGGGTGCTCAGCCTAGATGTATTAGAACTGAGTGAGGTGAGACTTGTAAGAGGAGTGTGAGGTTATTGGGCAGACCAGGACACGCGAGGCTGTTTGAGCACAAGCATGGGGGCACAAGCTCTCAGGAGAACTGAGAGCCCTCCAGGAAAACCAGAGGCATAGAATGGCTGGGGCATAACAAACTATGTGTACCCCCATAGGGAAAATTCTAAACTGAGAGGATGATGTCCAGACTTGGACTTGAGAGTTCCCTTGGGAGTAAGTGTGGAGAATGGAGTTGGAGGTGAAGACTAGAGCTGAGCAGACTAGTTAAGTGAGGAGTTATATGGACTTCCGCTTATGCAGCAGCCAAGGGACTGAAGGAGGAGGGTTTGTGGAATGGAATTGTTTTAAGGAGGGGAGTAATAGAATGTGGTCCTTAGTTGGATTTAAAGGGTGAGGAGTAGAATGCTTCCGGTGCTTGTCGATGGGTGGGCGTTGCCATTGGCCTGCAAAGAGACCGAGGAAGTGCAGCTGCTTAAAGATGGGTTCATTTTCTCCCACTCTTCCCATTTTTTCTTGTGAGTGCTGTGGTTTTGTCAATAATGGTAACATTAAGAAAAGTTGCCGGGCTTTTTGGCTCAGCCTGTAATCCCGCGCTTTGGGAGGCTGAGGTGAATGGATTTCCTGAGCCCGTGCGTTCGAGACCCACCTGGGCAACTTGGCGAGACCTCATCTCTACAATAAATCAAAAAATCAGCCGGGTGTGGTAGCACGCTGGGTGTGGTAGTTCCAGCTACTTGGAAGGCTGAGGCAGAAGGATCGCCGGAGCCCAGTGGGTTGAGGCTGCGGTGACTGGGAGTGCCCACTGCACTCCAGTCTGGGCAACAGAGTGAGACTCCAACTGAAAGAAAAATTAAAGGGAGTCTCTAACTGCAGCACCATTTCCAGTGAAAATTAGGAAATTTAATATGAAGTTACCTGTAAGTAGTTGACATGATGGTAAGATAATAAGTGTTTTGAGATGGTCTCCACTCATTTTTTAAATTCTAGCCTTTAAACGTGTGTTATAATTAGAAAAGCTTAACTTTAGATTCTTTCATTTAGTAAAAACATCTTAGTAGTTATAATTTTTAACCATTAGTAAAAACATCTTAGTAGTTACAATTTTTAACCATTCCTTAAGACATGCATTTTGACTATATATTTAATAATTCAAAAATAATTGCAGAAACCAAAATGTCTAAGTATTTAGTTTTGTTATTGTAATTTAGAGCTTACTTTGCTCCAGTGGTGGACTATAGAAAAAATAAAAATAAAAGCTCTGAGTCTGACTTTATTTTTTTTGAGTTGGAGTCTCACTGTCATCCAGGCTGGAGGGCAGTGGCATGCTCCCAGCCACTGTAGCCTTGACCTGCTGGGCTCAGGTGATCCTTCCATCTCAACCTTCCAAGTAGCTGGAACTACAGGCACACACCACCATGCCTGGCTAATTTTTTGATTTATTGTAGAGATGAGGTCTCACCAAGTTGCCCAGGCTGGTCTCAAACCCACGGGCTCAGGCAGTCCTCTCACCTTGGCCTCCCAAAGTGCTGTGAGCCATCGTGACCGGCCAAGTCTAACATTTTAAGTAAATTTGTCTGGATATGAAAATGAATGGATGTTTAGCCTTACTGACATGTGATGTATTTTCCCAGAATATTAGAATAATGGCCAAGTATTACACTCGGATAACAATGAAAAGGATGGCCCAGCTTCTGGATCTGTCTGTCGATGTAAGTAGTAGCATCATTGTTTGAGTTATCTGTAGCCATTCATTTGAAGTCCAAAGTATACATGTAATACATATGCTTCGGTTTCCACAAAAACGGACTGCATGCATAGGGTATGTGAAGTCCCGGAGTGTGTTGGAGTGTTGTATTTGGGTTCTGCATTTTATGTTGACACAGTGGCAGCACACAAAGAGCAGTTATCTAAAGTATCTGACCATGACCCGAGCAGCCGTTTCTGTCACCAGAAGGAGTTGTGACGGTTTGGGTGATAAGGGTCCTGGAGCATTTGCTCCTTGCTTAGCCTGGCAGCTCTTCTCATATGTGGATGAGGGGACCAGAGTCCTTAGAAGTCAAGTGTGTCGTCCATGACTTCTGAGTTGCCAAGGAGCCTAGAGCATGTATTCTCACCCAGCATTTCTGGAAACAAATGAACTGCACCATATGCCTTTAAAGGAGGAACATTATATTTGCAGGGGACAGATTCAGACTCAGCCCTGTGATTGGACTCAGATTCTATTCATTCCCTAGACTATCCATAAAATATGTACACTTTTACAGGAAGCCAGCAGTTGCTAACTATTAATAATGAATTTTTTAGCCCAGCATATTCTTGGATGAAGAGTTTAGAAAAAGGTTTTCTGAAGTTTTGTTTTTGTCCATAAAGTCCTGTCTTAATCCAATTTGTCTTTTTCTCTTGCAGGAGTCAGAGGCATTTCTTTCAAATCTAGTAGTTAACAAGACCATCTTTGCTAAAGTAGACAGATTGGCAGGAATTATCAACTTCCAGAGACCCAAGGACCCAAATAATTTATTAAATGACTGGTCTCAGAAACTGAACTCATTAATGTCTCTAGTTAACAAAACCACGCATCTCATAGCCAAAGAGGAGATGATTCATAACCTGCAGTGAGGGTCTTGCTGCTGTTAAAGGTAAAATTGGAAGTCATTAAAAAAAAAAAAAACAACACCATGTTGTGTACATCGCCTTTGCTTTTTCCTAAGCTCCTTTGTCTACGATTTTTGAATGGTGAATATATTGGAGGCCCCCTTTGACCCTTTAGTTCCCTGATTTTATTAACTTCGCATCTACAATTGGTGCAAAAATATAATACATTTCTGTTGGCTGAGTACATAAAAAATTGTCATAGCATGCCCAAATATGTTTTTCTGTCATTTGAAACCCTTTAAGCTATTCTTGCTCTTCATTCACTAACAAACATACCACAATGGTAAGGGCAGTATTTGTGTATTCACTTTCTATAGTTACCTCTGATCCTAAATATTGTGTGGGGTAGTATTTGACAAGTGTTTTTTAGATTTAAAAAATTCTGTTGTAAAGCTATCGATTATTTAGTAGAATAAAACGAAATAGAGCATACAAGAACATTTGGGGGAGAGTTGTGATTTGTGAAGAATTTGTATTTTGATATTGTATCAGAAAGTCTAGACTGAGTGTGTAGAACTGTCTGGTAGGCTGTAGACTTAACTTTTTTCCCTCTCTGTCAAACTCGTTCTAGTCACAGTAGTTTGATTACTTTTACCCCCTGACCAGTTTAACAGAAACAAGTGACATTTGTTTTGTTTTGTTTTGTTTGAGTCAGAGTCTCACTCTGACACCCAGGATGGAGTACAGTGGCACGCTCAGGACCACCACAGCCTAGGATCTGCTGGGCTCAGGCGACCCTTCTGGCTCAGCCTTCCAAATAACTACATTACAGGCATGCACCACCAAGCTCGGCTCATTTTTCTTGATTTATTGTAGAGATGAGGTGTCTTTAAGTCACCCAGGCTGGTCTCGAACCTGTGGACTCAGGCAATTCTCTCACCTCTGCCTCCCAAAGTGCTGGGATTATAGGTGTGAGCCACTGCACCCGGCCAAGTGACATGTTTAACAGAAACAAATGACATGTTTCACAGGCTGTTGGTGCTGAGTCCTCTCTAAAGGGATACTGACTTTTTTATTTTGTTTTTTTGGCTCTTTTTCCTACCTCCTTGTTATGGGTTTAAATTTAACACATGAAGTTGTTTTTATAAGGCTTCTTTTTGGCTTTAACTTATAGGTCTGATTGCATCATGAATGTTCCAAATTCATTATCTCTTAAGAACACTGGATAACCTAATTTTTAACAAATGACAAAAAGAATTCAGGCCACCCACATAGTAAATGGTATAATATTACAATGTTTTCACAGAATTAAAAAAAGTAGTTTTACTGTCAAAAGAAACATCTGAGATCAATTAGTGTGAATAAATTTTGGAAGTTTTTAAAAAATTTGATTTATTTGAGAGAAAATAGAAAAATGAGACAATGTCAATGTTAGAGAGTTATTTTAAATGATGTTTAAATGAAGAAAGTGTGAGATCTACTTTAAAAAAATCCAAATTAAAAAAAAACTAAGCATTTTAGATATGGCATTTCTTATAATTAATTTTTCACTTAATGGAAGAATGTCACCAAATTGTCCCATTTCATGATCCCAGGACTGAGAACGGTTGTGAGACCTGTGTAATCCCTATGCTCTGAGTCATTGTGAACAATGACATACAGTATTAATCTAATTTTATTCTTTGGAAGTTCAGTGCATTGGTCACATTAATAACAGCAACATCTGCTGTCACTTACCTTCAAAAACTAACTAGAAACATGGCAAGTTCAGAAACATTAGACATTCACATTAACAGTAAGAAGATGGGTTTAATTGTCTCTGAATGAAAAGGAAAGGAAATAAAATTGTGCGTTGTTAATTTGTAAATAAAATTGGAGCCAGTCTGAATCTAGCCTCTCGCTTAACTTTGTCTTTCCAGGACTCATCACCTTTGGGCTTAGCCACACCTGGTTGCTTGGCTGTGTATGTCTGTAGTGGCCTCAGGCGCCTCACCTGGGGTCTGTACACTATACACGCTCTCCCTCAGTGTGTAACTGTCCCAGGGACCACGTCTCACTTGACTTGATTAGCTACTTATCCATTTCCTGATTTTTCCTGTCAAGTATTAATCAAGCAAACCTAAAGAGTCATTTGCCTATTTCTCTTCTTAGTATTACAAAAAAAGCCATTAGCATAAGGGAGTAAAATAGCTGAGATTTCAGAACCTGCATCCGGTTTCTCATTTCGGACCAAAAGCTGTGTTTGTGACAAGAACCGCAGCACCTCACTTACCTGGAAAAGATAGCACTTGGCCCATGAGGTAGCAGGAGAGGTGATGCCGTTGTGCTTTCCAACGAAACACCTTTTCTTTACATGTAGTTTGTTTTTAGAGTTCAGTAGCTGTTTCTCTAATTATCCTCAATTTCCATATGCTTATTGTTAAATCGGAAAAACTCTTCTTTAAAATTCATACCATTCCATTCTCTCAGAGTTAATTATGATAACAGTACATATTTTGCTGGGCACAGTGGCCCACGCCTCTAATACTAGCACTTTAGAGGTGGAGGAAGAAGACTGCCTGAGCCCAGGGGTTTGAGACCAGCCTGGGCAACTTGATGAGACCTCATCTCTACAATAGAAAAAAATTTAGCCAGGCACGGTGCCGTGCGCCTGTGGTTCCAGCTACTTGCAAGGCTGAGGCGGAAGGATCGTCTGAGCTCAGCAGGTTGAGGTTGCAGTGGCCATGAGTGTGCTGCTGCACTCCAGCCTGGACAACAGTGAGACTCCAACTCAAAAAAAAAAAGTACATAGTTTACCGTATTTTCAGCTCCTGGACATAGCAGCAGTAAAAATACTAAGTAGGTATTTAAGAAAACCTGGAGAATAATCTCATACTTTAAAAGGTCCCTTCTCTTTTCAGTTCTCAGTATTTGAAAGGAAAAAAAAGCCATAGATAATTTTCTTTTTTATCTACCCTGAAGTAGCTTTGTCCTCTAAGACTTCATTGTATTTCTAGAGCAATTTGAGGTTCACTGCAAGATCGGGTGGAAGGCAGTGAGAGTTCCCATGTGCCCCCAGCCCACATAGGACAGCTCCTTATCTGTGATCCACAGTCCCCACCAAAGTGTCCGTCTGTTAAGACCACTGAACCCCCTGGCCCCTCACTCTTGTATAGTCTGTGAGTTTAGACAAACGTGACACGTCTCCGCCATCTCAGTACCGTCACGTTTTCACTGCCTCCAAAGCCCTCTGCTCCACCTGTGCGAGCCTTCCTTCCCCCAAGTCCCTGGCCACCACTCATCTTTCTACTGTCTCCATAGTTCTGCCTCTTCCAGAATGTCCCGTAGTGGAAATCACCGTAGGTGGCCTTTTCAGATTGGCTTCTTTCACATAATAACATGCATTTAAATTTCCTCCATGTCTTTTCATGGTTTGATAGTTTATTTTTTTTTTAGTGTTGAAGAGTGTTCCATTGTCTGGATGTACCACGGTATATTCATTCACCTGCCGAAGGACATCTTGCTTACATATTTTGGCAATTACAAATAAAACTGCTGCGAACATCTGTGCAGGTTTTTGTGTGGCTGAAGTCCTCAGATCCTTTGGATAAGTCTAAACCTGTTTTTAAGCAGTGAGGAAATATTTTGCACGTTTGTCTCAAAGGCCAACTGACTGGCTCTTCCCCTCCTAACTCTGACCTGGGTTGGTGACTTGGGCTGTTCTTACCGGCTCCTGGCCAGTGCTGCTCTAACTTGGCACACTTCACAGCCTGGATTGCTGGGCCACTCCCAGAGCTTCCCACTCAGTAGGGTGAGGGGGGGAGGGGCAAGGGTTCCTTTCTCACAAATCCTTAGGCAATGCCAGAAATGTGTATCCACGATCCACACTTTGAGAACCACCTTTGACACTATTTGTAATAAGCACTAGAAAAGAACTGGATAATGCTGGTCTTTTAAAAGAGATTTTCATGATAAACGATGTGAACCTTGTGAGGGTGATTGCAACAGTAAAGCTAGCTGGGCTTGATGGCTCAGCCTGTAATCCCGCGCCTTTGGGAGGCTGAGGTGAGTGGATTGCCTGGGCAACTTGGCGAGACCTCATCTCTACAATAAATCAAAAATGAGCCGGACGTGGTAGCGTGCACCTGTAGTTCCAGCTACTCAGAAGGCTGAGAGGTGGAAGGATCGCCGGAGCCCAGCAGGTCGAGGCTGCGGTGGTCGGGAGCGGCCACTATACTCCAGTCTGGGTGACAGAGTGAGACTCCAACTCAAAAAAACAAAACAGTAAAGCTGAAGCGTGATGCCCCTCTTGTGCCATTGTTCCAGTGTCTGGTGATGGAGTGCTTCCTTCTAATCTGCCTCCTGAGATGCAGAGAAATGCTCTTGCTTTGTAGTGGATGGAAAACAACGTTTCTCACGTGGACCCTCGCAGTTAATTTATGGAAAGGATAGAATGGCATTTCTTTGTGGGTTGCCAAAATTTTATATCTTGCTATTTTCTCCAAATCGGGGACCATGTCAATCTGTGTATCCATCATTTGTTGCTTAGGAGGACCTTGAATGCTAGCCCGTTAATATTTCCTGACCATTATTGTCCACTTCCAACTTTGTATTGCCCTAAAGGACCTTTTTCTAAGAGTATCTGCCCTAAAAAATAGGCTGGGTGCAGTGGCTCACACCTCTTATCCCAGCACTTTGCAAGACTGAGACAGGAGGATCGCTTGCAGGAGTTCAAGGCTGCTGCGGCCTATGATTGTGCCGCTGCTCTCCCGCGCGGGTGACAGAGTGAGGCCTTGCGTCAAAGAAACAGTCCAAGGTAAACATTTAGGCCAGGTGAGGGGGCTCAAGCCTGTCATCCCAGCGCTTTGGGAGGCTGAGGCTAGAGGACTGCCTGAGCCCAGGGGTTCGAGACCCGCCTGGGCAACTTGGCGAGACCTCATCTCTACAATAAACCAAGAAAATTGGCCGGGCAAGGTGGCTCACACCTGTGGTTCCAGCAACTTGAAAGGCTGAGGCGGAAGGCTCATCCGAGCCCAGCAGGTTGGGACTGCGGTGGCCGTGAGCGTGCCACTGCAGCCTGGGGGTGACAAAGTGAGACTCTGACTCAAAAAAAAAAAATTAAAATTTCTAAAACATCTCCTAAGTTGTAGCTTCCCAGATTCCTTCAGGCTTTTCCAACAAGAAGAGTTTCAGCCGCCGTCGGAAGGGCCCTTGTAGGAAACAGGACTCGGCTTCCCTGGCAGTTCGCTCGACCCCACAGGTGCTTCTCGTTGCACTGGAAAGAGTTTCCCACCACAGTCCGGTGCCTGGCTTTGCTCCGTGGACGCTGTGTGGTGCCAGCAGGTGGCCTCCCTCGGGACCAGAGTGCTTGCTCCTGGGAGGGCGGATGGCCCACCGCCAGGCCTGTCCTCGCCTGCCTCCCGCTCCCGTGGTCCCTCGGCTGAGGACAGCTGCCTCTGCAGAGACCGGCTGATGGGGAAGTGCAACGTCCTGGTCCTCTTGCTGCACCGTGGCCGAGG